ATGAATCAGACAACATATGTGGCCTCAAAGAAACGCTCAGTTAGACTTTCTGAGTTTATTTTGGCAACTCACCAATCTGGCTTTGGCTGGCCAACATCATCTACGACGACCATCCTTCCCAGGTGATACGCCCGTAATGTGAAAAATGGATATTTCGATTCTCTATCACCCGACTCTTTGTGCCATGTTGGCCTCGCAATTGTGTGTCACCATGCCAATGTTGAGCTTTAAGGATTCAGTTCATAGGTAGGTCAGGGTCTTAAATTAAGTGCTTCAGCGGCTCTTCCTTAACCGAATGTTGATATCGTTTGGGTAGTTGAGGCATTAGTCGACCCATTAAACATCATTCCATCTGCCGCATTGTTCTTGTGCCAAGAATTCTCCGACAAGCGCAGCACCATCTTTGAGGACAGTCTTCCATGCTCTCCTTCGACTGTGCAGAGCTCCGAAACCTGTTCCGACAACCTGGTGATAGGACTTGTCGCCGTGCACCATCCTCCCATTGAGTTCTGTCAGTCGGCGCTAGCCACTCTGGCGAATGCAGCGGCCACAGCGGCTACGACAACCACGGCTGGGGCTGGCGCCGGATCGGCGTCTGCAGCCAGCGGTCTCGGCTCCTCCGAAAGCAACTCGTCATCCGGCCTTGGAGGCTACACCGGCGTCAACGAAGTCAGCTTCAGCGGTCAGGCGGGCTCTTCCCCCGGAGAGGCCGGCTCCATTCGTCAATCTTCAGTCAGCTCAGACTCAGTCGCCCTAATGGCTTCTACGCCAAACTCTTCCTGCTTAGCCGGTTTCAGGTAGGCTAGCTTCATTCAAATATCCTTAATTATTTGCATTTTCTGTTAATTCACACTCCTATTCCCTCAGTAAATAAACACAAGAATATCTTTTGACTTTATTCTAACATAAATACATAGATATATCTGTAGATAGATAGAGAGATAGATAATTAAATAGATAATTAAATTTTTAAAAACATGTGTTTGCCATTTTATTGATGCTAGCAGACCTCCCATTTGGTTTGAAGGGGAAAGCGACTAGAATTTATTATTATTATTCAAAGGTATAAGACTAATATGGCATAGTCTACAGTATGGTCGTGGTCTCCTTTCGTTGTATAGAAGTTGTTTGCCCTTGTTTCCGCAGCTTTGTCATATTGTCAGGAAGACCTAGAGAAACTGATCTTATCCGGAGTCCACAGTATGCATGATCATTTCCAGAGTCGGTCCGTGGACTTGATACATTCCCTGCACCGTAGTCTGCATCGTCAGTGAGTCTTGCCATACTTAGGACAACAGCACAACTCGTCAAAGAGACAAGTGACGTCGATCATTTGACTCCGTATAAAATGCGTTCCTCTAGGTCTTCTTGCCAATATGATCAAGTTGTGAAAACAACGTCAAGCAACTTCTATTATTATTATATTCAATATTATTTTCATTAACTCTATTAGAATTGCCACAGCATACTTTTCATGGAAAAAGTGCGGTATTGAGCCACTTCTCGCTCTGATCATCTTCTTTGTATGGCAGACTAAACGTTGCCAAAGTTTTAACTGTGTAAACGACGATGGGCCGAAGACTTTAGCGTCCGAACGTGGCTACAACAATAGCGAAACCATCTGCTTTCAATTTTCAATTTGGAAAAACTCAGAATTCTTGCAACAACATTTTAATGTAAAATTCAACTTAAAAGGCACTGCGTAACGTCGTAATCCTGTTACGAATCATTACGCATAACTATAGTAAAAGAGTGGGAATTATTCAGTTCAGGTGATCAAGATGACTCATAAACTGACTGCGATGATTTTCCAACAGCCAAATGAGTAGACCTGACGACGCCCTTTAAGGCTTTTATAGTCTTGCCTCCCAAAAGTCTGGCCTGTTGTTTTGACTCATCAGCACCTTCATCTGGATCTGAAGCAAGATCGTTCACATGGTGACAACACGTCTGTCCTGCGAGGAGAGACATAGTAAGAGCGGGAAAGAATAATTCACGAAAAATGCATAAAATACAATTGGCCAATTCAATTGAAGAATTGAAGTTCAAGATGGTGTTGCGCTTTGTAGGATTGTATTCTCCTTTCGTTGTATAGAA